TATAGATATATAGATATATAGATATAGATAGATATATGAGCACATATAAGGACAGAACAAACCACAGTACAGTAACAGAAGCTTCCAGCTCGAGTAAAATTTTTGGCTTTGATGTAGTTACGAGCAGGGCCGGCAGGAGGAGGCTCCAGCGAGGCGGAGAGGGTGCAATGATCCCCTCAGGCATCGCCGGGAGGGAAGGAAGGAAATTGTTCCTTTTGCAAACTCACGCAGGCAGCGAGAGATCTCGATAGTACCAAGAGCAGACAGGAGGGAAAGCGGGCAGATTCGATCGCAGTGTCGAATTGCAGCGTGGCAAAGTGCTGGAGCCGAGTACACGAACTCATTCCACCTCTCTTCAATACCCGAAGGAAGGAAGGAAGGCAAGCACCCACCAACACCAAGTCTCGGATTCAAATTCACAACCTATCGTGACATCACTCTGAAAAATCCCGAACAGCAAAGCCCACTCCCTCAGACAAAAACTCCCCAACCCCACAACAACTCCACTGGAATGCCAGGGAAGTTCCTTTGTGTCTTGATCGCTGACTATTCACCCAGAAAGCCGCCCCCTTGTCCCTGCCAGCGTCTCCCTGATGACAATGGGAGGAAATTCACTGAGAAACCTAAAAAATGACGACAGTCCCCGAAGTTATCTAAAACCTTAAATTTCATTTCCTGGTTCTAGAATGAACTCRTAACCCAGAGTGTGTAATCCAAAGGTGGGATGTCTTGCTTAAGTCAAGCATCCAGTCCCAATTCTCAGTCAGCAAGAAAGATAATAACTTCTGTTTGAGGACAGTGGAAGAGATAGATCTTGTCAAACTTATGCTTTCTCCATTTCACCTTCCTCAGCTGAAGTTATCAAAGCACCACTGGTTGTGTGACAGAGGATGGTGACAGGAGGGGATGGGGAGAAAGAGCAGTGAAATCCATTCGCTTGGCCAGGGGACACAYTTTGTTTTTACTGTAAGGCTGTGTGTATCTTTCATTATAAAGGTGYAATTATAAATGRTGGKGAAGGGATTATGAAAATGGAGACAGGGTTTGTCCAGCAGCAGATGGATTATTGACTGCTTTTTGAATGTAGCACAGGTAGACCAGTCCACAGAATCCAATCACTCTGGAGGCAACATCAACACAAGCAGGCMTCACTGGTTATCAAGCATAGTGTARCTCTAACAGATTAATTTTAAACYTTTTGGTGTATTTTCCAACGTTTTGATGCAGCTGAGCTCAGTCATGTATTGGAAGTGAAGAATCATAGATTTATTTAGGTCATAAAAGCCCTCTGAGACCATCGAGTCCAGCCATTGCCCCAGCAGTGCCAAGGCCACCACTAAACCATGTCCCCAAGTGTTACATCTACACAATTTTGAAACAATTCCAGGCCAACTGAAGGCCTATAATGAGGGCATATTAAAAACAAAACAAAACACAACAAAACAAAACAGACTAGAATAGGTTTAAAATGCAGTGAAATTAAGCAGAAATAACTTCCTTGGCCAATGCACTGGGCCCTGACTTGGATTCTCACAGCAGTTTTTCCCATCCCCTTTTTAAAAACACTCAAGCTCATTCAAGTCCTGCCTGACTCTGATTCTCAAACCATTAATTAAAATGCAGTGAGTTTCCAGGGGTACAAATCCAACAGCAAAGTGATACTTGTCCAAGGGTGGTATTGGCAGAAGATGCTCCTTGTGCACCCTGAGGTGACCTGGCTCAGCATTGTCATGCTCCATGTACTGCAGCACACTGCAGATTCACACTGCCCAGAGAACAGATGCTCTCTTTGCTTCCAAGACAGMAAACATGCACAAGGATTCCTTAAAAGCAGTGTTTAAAGTGGTTTCTTAAAAATATGAGGCCAGCACTTGTTGCGTCCAAACACTAGACCAGGCTAAGTTTGCTGCTGGGATCTGGCAGAATTAGGAGCCACATTTAATCTTCACAGAATGCCTAATTMTCCAGGGCTGAACAAACTCAGTCTACACACAAATACAGCCCAGAGTGCTGGGTGTCAGCCTGGCCTGTGTCCCTAGATCTCACTTCCTTGTGTCCCTTGTTCTGGGACTTTGGGCAAGTGGGGTTGTTCAGCCTGAGAAAGAAAAGTCTATGGGGAGACCTTAAAGCCCTTGCCAGNGGGGAGACCTTAAAGCCCTTGCCAGTATGGAAAAGGGCTCCAGGAGAGCTGGAGAGGGACTTTGGACAAGGACAGGAGGGACAGGAAAATGGGAATGGCTTCCCACTGCCAGAGGGCAGGGTTAGATGGGATGTTGGAAGGAAATTCTTGGCTGTGATAGTGGTGAGGCCCTGGCACAGGTTACCCAGAGAAGCTGTGAGTGCTGCCCCATCCCTGGAAGTGTTCAAGACCAAGCTGGCCAGGGGTTGGAGCAACCTGGTCCAGTGGAAGGTGTCCCTGTCCATGGTAGGGTGGTTAGAATTGCATGATTGCTGAGGTCGTTTCCAACCCAAAACATTTTATTATTGCATGATTCTATAACTGAGAAAATGTTTTAGAGAAATAGCATTATGTGATTGCTTGGTAATAATGCTTTTTCTTTTCTTTCATTTTTTTTTTTTTTCCAATTTTAATGTTTCTGCCGTCTTTTGGGGAACTTCCTCTGTTTTCTCCCAGAGAAGTGGGGAGAAAGGCTCCAMGGAGCCCTTCCATCCCTCACCCAGAGAGCTGCAGCCAAATCCCACACCACGCTCCCTCTACTGGTCTTAGCGGTCATCCTACAAGAAAGGACACACACGGAATATAGTGAGGCATTCAGGAGTGGGGTTCCATGTCCTTTAGAAATGGACAGGAGAAGGGTCATGGCTGGGCTGAGCTGGCAGCTAAATTTTAGCAGAGAATTGGTCCAACACTGCACAAGTGGTGGCTTATGGCCACAAATAATTCACAGAAWATATATTGCATATAATTATTACAGTCACATAAATAATAGAATTACAGTATTGTTTGGGTTGGAAGTTGAAAAATGACATAGAGAATAGAAAATTTCAGTTTCCCTGAAGTTGCTGAATACAGCTTAAAAGTAGCCAAAAAAAAAAAAAAAAGGATGCAAAGTGTGCACACAGGACAGTAAATGTAGCTTACCACTGGAGAAACAGATTAAGAGGCCTATTGTGATTTTTTTTTTTTTTTTTTTTGCAAGAAGCAACACCACATGCCCAAAGAAAAAGTTCAGGGAAAGGTCAACTTTAAAATTGAAGTATTCACCAAATAGGCCAACCAGAGATCCCTTTAGAGGACCCTCCAGGACCATAAAAGAATTTCCAGTAGGAGGCAGATACATGCAAATTAGTTCTAGGAGAAATGGTATTTATGTACTAGCTAGGAGTAAAGTTTTAATGAAAATGTATGATTATGATGGATAAATACCTTGTTTAAAATCCTCACCACACACATTAGATTAAAGGACATATCCTAATGTGTCTGGCACAGATAAACAATGCCTGCTCTCTAATTTTTCAAATTGTGTTAGAAAGTTTATTTTCTGGCTGATTTCAGTATCAAAGGGACCTTAAAAACATTCCACTTTCTGCCATGGGAATGGATCCCTTCTATTAGACCAGGYCCAACCTGGCCTTGRACAYTTCYAGGGATGGGGMAGCCACAGCTTCTCTGGGCAACCTGTGCCAGGGCCTCACCACCCTCACAGCCAAGAATTTCTTCCCAATATCCTATGTAAATCTATTCTCTTACAGTTTGAACCCATTCCCCCTCTTTCCATCTCTATAGCTCCTGATGAACAGTCTTTCTCTGTTTTCCCTGCAGCCCCTTCAGACACTGGGAAGGTTCTGTGAGGTGTCCACACAATCTTCTCTTCTCCAGGCTGAACAGCCTCAACTTYCTCATTTGTCTCCATAGRSCAGGWGCTCCAGCCCCATTATTGACTTTGTGGCCTCCTCTGGACTTGCCCCACAAGTGCCATTTACCCTTCTTACCCTGGGGCACCAGAGCTGTGCAGAGTGTTACAGATGGGGTYTTAYRAGAGCAGAGCAGAGGGKTATTTCTGTTGAGCAGCAAAACYGATAGGTGATCTTGGGCACATCATCTCCGGTCCACACTTTGCTCCAGCTCTCCCTAATCTTTTTCCCATGCCCTCCTCCATGCAGGATGGACTCTGAGGCCGGGTTCTTATTTTTTCCATTGGGCTGGTGGGCTTTTTGGCTTTCTGGGTTCTCAACTTCACTTTCCTTGACTGCAGCACCCAGCTTCTGACTCGGGGTGATTTCTGACCAGCTGTGTGCATGCACCTGAGTTCTCTCAATAGTCAACGTGTTCCTAAAGCAATTATCTTGGAAATTCACATTGCCTGGTCTACCCTTGAAGCTTGTCTTCCTCGCACAAGCCATGAGCTCTTCTGCTGCATTCCTCAGCTTTGTACCAACTTGTGATGGCTCTGAGGCAGGACTTGCTGCTTCTCCGTGCATCCATAGCATGACAAGGGGACACCAGATAAAAGAGTAAGGGCAAAGGCCAACCACATGCATTAAGTAAATCAGGGAATGTCACACAAGTCCCTCTCAAGGGAACAGCAGCTCTATGAGACTGCCCAGTGCACACCCAACTTTACCCATCCATCCCATTCCTCAGCAGAAAGGATCCTGACATTGCAAGGCGCGCAGGATCTCTTGGATTTTGGTTAAAACTTGGCCCTGTGCCCACTGGGTAAATTCTGAGCAACCTGAAGGGCAGGAACGTAGCAATGTAGATGTGGAAAACAAAGGTGAGATTTCCCTAATTGCTGGAATGCAGCAAGGTAAAATAGGTGTGGAAAAGCCAGATGATTGAAAGATGAGGTTTGTGAAAATGATGGTCCCCATTTTTGTCAGTGTCTCCCAGTAATCTGAGAGCTGGGAAGATTACCCTTCAGCACCAAATTCCCAGCACCCCACGCCATGACTGCTGTCCCCCGACTGTGTCCAGACTCCAAGGGCAGAGCTGGTCCCTGAAACACTGAAGAGACAATGAAATCAGTGGCACTTACCGTAATGGGGAAATAGTCCCTCATGTACCTCCAGACGACGCAGTTTCGGAGGATGTGGATCCGCCGCCCGCCCTTCCTGGGCTTTTCCCTGTCTATGAACCACCATGCAGCATAGAGGGCACTGACCAGCCAAAAACGGGTGAAGAACAGGGCGATGAAGGCAGCTGTACAGCACTGTGCTGAAAGAAAAGCCAGCAGTGACTTGGCAGTGGGGTTAGGTGGACTTTGGGAGAGGAATGATTAACTTGGAGAGGCATTTTGGTGCCAGGATGGAGCCCAAGCCTCCACTGGGCTTGCTGCTGAAGGCACCTTTGGTGCAGAGGTGATTTCTATCTGCCCCAGGAATCTGAACAGACACCAAGCATCTGCCTTGCAGCAACCACCAATTTCTCCAAAGGCCACCATGTCCCTCTCTTCCCAAAAGACTGATGGACCTCACGTCATTCACAAGGTCCTCATGGATCAGCTCTCTATCCCTTTGTTGTCTTGCTTTGGACTTGCTGTCTTGACTCTGGAGTCAGACTGATCTCTGAAATGATAATGACCTTGTTTTACCCCAAAACTCCTGTTAATACCCCCCTGATGACACCTAATATTTTGCCATGGCAGCAAAAAGGGTGCAATGTCCTGTCTGTACCATCCCCAATAGCTTTATCCTGAGCTAATGATTCCCCATTTAAATTTGTGTCCTTGATTTATACCCATAGTCTTTACTAAGTTTTTTATTATTGATTTTGGACCCTTTCCTCCACTTCTTGGGTTCAGTCTCAACTTTAATCCTGGCCTCTAGAGGATTTTCAGCCCTTTCAACTTAGTGTCATCATGACTTTTATAAGAATGCTCTATTTATTTCCCTAAGACTTTAATGACTTGGGACTTTCTCAAATCATTAAAGACTTTTCTAAGCTGCCTCCATTTAGTGCCCAGCTTTGACCTCTACCTCCCACCTCCCTTATACCTTGTGTTTTAGCATGGGAACAAGAGAAGAAAAGTCTGTGTGCAAACAAACATCACGTGGTACATGAAATCCCACCCAAACTCAACGTTGTCTGTCAGAGACTGGCAAGTGATGATGGCCACCAAGCTGCCACCTGGTAAAGCCTGCCTGGAAAGAGCTGTGTCCTTTCCATTTTTCCCTCTGGAATCCTTGGCATTGCTTGTAAAGGGGAAGACTGAGATAAAAAAAAAAAAAAACCCGAAGATTCATCCAAGTCATTTGTCTTCCCCAGCTCATGGGTTACATAACCTTTTATACATTTTGTTCTACTTTGGGTTTTCATCACAAATGGGTTTGAAGGATGTGAAGATGGAGATGCCCTGATGGGCTTCAGCTGTGACTTGGATGCATCTGCACCCTCATGCTCTGACACCTTCTCCATCTTTGTGAGCAACCTGATACCAGCTCTCTCCATCTCATCTCAGCTAAGGCCTTTCATAGAAATGGAATATCTAAGACCTTCTCATCTAAGACCTTCATGTACCTCCTGCTTGTTTTCACTTAAGGATAAGTAAGTAGATCAGATTTGCTGGGTTTTTTTTTTTTCTTTTGGTGATAAGTCACCCTGATTACAAAGTTTGCACAGAAAAGCAAATCCCTGTCCCTTTTTAAAACACTGTCATGATGGTACCCATAATTCCTATGGGGAAAATAAGTGCCACAATCTAACAGGATGTTAAATTCCCTCAAAGCTGAAATAGGACTGTATGTTCCTATAAATACAGACATTGCAGCATCTGGGTAGCCAATAAGAATTTTCCAGTGGGAACATTTTCAGCTCTCTGGTCTAACCTTTAATGCATCCCACAGGTCAGAAAGAACCACTGCTCACACACAGTGCCACATTTTTCATGGAATCAYAGAAGCCCCGTCAGATCTGGCCTCGGACACTTCCAAGGATACAGAACTCAGCTTCTCTGCGCAACCTGTGCCAGCACCTCACSCCCCTCACAGCCAGGAWWTYCTTCCCAATATCCCATCYAACCCTGCCCTCTGGCAGTTTGAAGCCATTMCCCCTTGTCCTGTCCCTCCAGACCTTTGTCCAGAGCTCCTCTCCAGCTCTCYTGGAGCCTCTTTAGCACTGGCAGGATCTCTAAGGTCRCCCCAGAGCCTTYTCTTGTCCAGTCTGAACACCCCCAGSTCTCCCAGCCTGTCTCCAGAACAGAGGGGCTCCAGCCCTTAAAGCATCTCAGTGGTGTCCTCTGGACCTGCTCCAAGTGGAGTCTCACAAAAATGGAACAGATGGGRARAATCCCCTCYSTCAACCTGCTACTCRTGCTTCTTTTTCAAATACCACAGACACAGACTTTATATCTCTCAAGAATTGCATAGAACATGAACTGCAGCTTCAGGGTCCACATGACAGATAAAAACAATCTTACTGCACCTAGGAGATCGGTCCTCAGGTCTGCTACAAAACTGTGCAGTGCTAATTATCTTTTTATCATACTGTGCAAAGATCAAAGTGCATTCTGCAAAGTGAAGGAGTAGTTCTGGTCCAAATCCATGCTTTATCTCACAATTATGTAATTATTAATTTCTTCCTTGATTCATTTGCAATTCAACTTTTTTTTCTTTTTCTTTTTTCTTCTTGTTTCAGAACAGAATTTGCACTTCATGACCTTCACTCAATTTTAAGATTAGAGGGGTTTTTTTCCCTTTTAAAACCTTTTGGTGTTCTGTAAGAAAGGAGCCTATTCCTGTCCCAGAATGGACTGTCAGTCGGAAAGTTACTGTGGATGGGACCAAAGAGATCGGAAAGTTCCATGAAATGTACAGTTACAGTTGCATACAAATGAATTCCAGCTTTAGGCAGGCACCTGATTATTTATGGTCTGTTATTTGGTGAGAAGGAGGAACCCCATACCACAATCTGGACACCAGTGGCAGGATGTTTGCCACAGAGCTCTATTACTCCTTCCCAAAAGCAGTGTCAGGTCCCCAGGCTGAGTCCACCAACAACAGTCCCACTGCTCAGAAGAAATGGGCAGGTTTGGGTGTGAGGCTGCAAACAGATGTGATTCTCTTCTCCCTCTGCAGCTCTGAACTCCTGTGCTATAGGCCAACAGCAGATGCTAAATTGCTATAAAATGGATTAAGCCCGTACACAGAGACATTTCAAGGTAGACAAGGGCTGCAAGAGCAGGGTTAAAGGTGTCATGCAAGTTTTTGCAGATGCATGAGTTCTATTATCTGAAAATAGCCAGATAATTCTGGGCTGGGCTGAGATTAGCTGCTACACTCTATATACTGTCATGGAAAGTGAAGACTCTTTTAAACCAAAACTAAAACTGAGGGGTCCTTGACATGAAGAAAAGCCATATGCAGACCCTAAATCTTGCACTTTCTTATCAGTTCAGATGCAGGAAGGTTTCTCTGTGGCTGTCCATGGTGAGGTTTGGCTCTGGATAAAGCATTCATAGGATGGTGCTGGACTCTGCAGTGCACCTCTGCAGCTGAGCTGGGGTGCAGCAACTTTTCATGGTCCAGGACCAATATATTATATCTCCATGGCCATATGGGACTCAGCAAAGAGGAGACAAATCCTTGTGGATGTGATGACGTTTTTGATTCTTTCACATGCCAAGTGGTTTCCTGGGCTGGATTCCTTCAAAGAAGCTCAGAGAAAAAATGAAGGGGTGGGGGTTTCTTATGCTGAATAGTTTTGTTGTTAGCAGCAAGTCCCTCTCTGGATAAAAACATGGCCATATCACAGAGACCATAAATATGTCATAGGCTCCAAGTGAGTCATGGTTTCCAGATAAGCCACAGGTTCCAAAGCACATGGGGGACTTTCCTGGCCAAGTCTAAGTGAGGGACCACATCCCATCAAAGTTCTGCTAACCCAGAATTTGTTCATTCAGCTTGAAATAGGGAAAAGTGCAGCCCACAGAGAGAGATATTTGTTATTGCAACAGCCCCAAAGTGGGTCAGATTCATGCTACACTTGTCAGGAGGGTTTGCCAGGTATCACTGAATCACAGAATGGGTTGGTTTAGAAGAATCTTAAAGACTATSSAGTTCCAAMCCCYGTGCCATGGGCAGKGATACCTTCCACTAAACCCCTTTCACTGCAGRTTGTTCAGAGTCCCATCCAAACTGGCCATGAATGCCTTCGAGATGAATTTTCTGGAGGTCCCCAGTGCCACCCTGAAGTCCCTGACAGTGACTGCCTGCACAGGCTGTGGACTATGCTCAGCTGCCAAAGGAGGACTGATCACAGGGTACTGCACGCACTTTGAGCCAACCCTGATGGCTCTGAGGGTTCAAAGGCTGGATTTGATACCCTGAGTCTGCAGAGGCAGCGCTGTGTCCAGGTCTCCTGCCCTTGCACTGCATTTGTTTGCCATGGTTCAGCTCTGCATGGTATGTTTGGATCAATGTCCATGCCCAGTGAAGAGTGGGAATGAGAGAGGCAGCAGGAAGCAGCGCAGCAGGCTTGGGCACCAGCCTGCTGATTTCAGTTTCCTGCAGGTTCCACTGCGTTGTGAGGGGCACTGGTCAGCACTCAGATTGCACACCGGGCAGGCAATGGGACTCCGTGCCCTGCAACCCATTCTTACGCCTTGCACTCTTCCTCCAGCAGCTGTCAGAATCTGAAATAAACGGGATCTTTTGTCTCCATGCTCTTGTCAGGAGCAGGAGCATCCTCAAGAAAACTGGCAGTGTGGACAGTGTCCACTGCTGCAAGGGATGCTGGAGCAGAGCTCCCTGCCAGCACGGGGGCTGAGCTGCTGCCCTCACCCAGCATCCTGACAGGAATGAATGAATGAATCCCTCAGGGAAATTACATTTGCACAACCATAGCAACAGCTGCCTGCACTCAGTGCTGCTGGGATCTCTGGCCAAAGGGCTGAGCAGCGCTCAGATCGGTGTTTTCAGAAGCCCTTTTCTGGCAGCAGAAGCACAAGCCTGTCTCCCAAACAAAGGAGCAGCCAGCAGCTAAATCCTGCCCATGGAAGGCCTGAGCTGTGTGCTTGAGGATTATAACAGTGCAGCAAGAGGTCTTTGGCAGCTCATGGGATGAAATTAAGAGTATCACTTACCATCTAGTTTATGCAGTTGGTAAACTGGAAGATTTTGGCTGGCAAGCTCCAGGCTTAAAGAAACTTTGTAAAATGAACCAAACCAGCTGGAATTGCTTCATAAGGTTTTTTTATCACCTTTCTAATGTTTTTCTTAGAGCATTTTTAGCTGCTTTTAGCTTCAAATTGTATCACTCCCAAAAAAAAAAAAAAAATCAATGTCACATTCGTCCAAGGAAAGATGATAAGCTCTGGAAGGTCAGCTGTGGAGGAGGAGTGGGTTTGGGTCTCATCCTCATTCAGGCTAAGCTGCATTTCCCCGCAGAAGGTAGAGCCTGTGATGCAAGTAACTCCTACAGCTGCAGAGAATCTTTCCCTGCTGGCTATTTGCTGTCATTCTGCTGGCTCAGAAGTAATTTCCCTCTGTGGAAAGCCAAGTGTCAGCTTGTTCCCAATACCAAGAAGGGAAAAACCTCAACTACAAACTGTTTTACTGGAAAACACTGTTAAAGCTCCATAAGCCCCAACTGTATCCGTGTTAGGATGGGAATGTCTGTTAGGTCCCTTGTCAACACTGCAACCACATCTCTACCACATTCCAACTGATTCAGGCACCACGGAAGGAAATGCTGGTGCAGGGACAGAGAGGGAACCATGGAACACCCCAAAATGTCCCATTCTGGCCAGCTGGGTCCCAGGCTGTACAGCTCTTGCCAGATCTCCATCACTCTTGCTAGGACACATTGGTGTCTCCTCCTGCAAGGGGTTCTCTGCTGGCAGAAGGTTGATCACAGCTGGGATCTCTTCACTTAGGGAGACCACCAGGGTTTATAACACAAGTACATAATGGCATCAAGGGTGGCTGTTTGGTGCTTCTCTTGCTGCACCCATCCTGGTGACCAGCAATGGTCACTGGCCTCTGAAATTGCTGAAACTGGGGCTAATGTGTAGTTTGGAAGAGTGATATTTAGCATGGACTAATCCTACACTAAGAAGCATTCAAAGAGCTATGCTGTCTGGATCAGTATGGCACAGTCCTCCAGTCCAAGAGATACTGGTGCAAAGGTGGCCATTCAGGCTCAGCTCTGTAGCAGATTTTGGAAGGGCCCATCTCAGAAACTGAGTGCGATTCAGAAGCACAGCTGGTGCCTTCTGTGCAGGTATAGTTCTGGAGATGTTTGTGTACCAGGACAGGGATTCACACAAAGACTTTCTGTGTTTAGGGGATAGTCAACAACTGTCTTGCCTCAAAAAAATGCAGAGCTTTACACAGATCCCCTCTGGGATTCACAACTGGCATAACAACAGGGGAAACTCTGTGATGTTACCTCTCAGCTTGGCTCGTGATGGGCTGTAAATGGCCCCAGACATTTTACACTGATAATCTGCCTCTGACACTCCCTTCTCTTTATTTCCCTAACACCAGGAAACACAGGGATGTGACATTCCACTCTGATGGGCTGTGAATGTCCCCAGGCAGTGTGCACTCTCTGATAACCTGGCTCTGGGTCTCCCATCTCTTTATTTCCCAGTGCTTCCTATCCAAAGTGGCACATGTGTCATTTCCATCAGCACCTGATGCCCTTCACCAAGCAGTGAGTTTGGCTGCATCCCAGCTTGCTGATGTGTCTTTTCCTCAAGCTGCTTGGGTTTTCTTGGACAAAAGGCCCTTTGGAATGTGCAGGGGCACCTGTAAAAAAGTGAATTTTCTGTTCCCAGGTCTGCAAAGCAGATTCCTGGGTGCTCTTTCTATAGTACCATTCTTCAGGAATGGTAGTGCTGTTTCCCACCCCTAACACCAAGCAGAGCAACAGCTTAAACCAGGAAAACTAAACCTAATGAGAAGGACAAGCTGAAAACCCAACCCAGGTTTAGATGCTGCATAAGACCTGTAGATAATCCCCTGCACAGGCAGGCAGCCATACACTTCCATAGTGCCACCATGCCCTGATCGGGTAATGAGAAGAAGCCAAAAACACTGGCACAGGTTGCTCAAGAAAGCTGTGGCTGACCCCCCCCCTGGGGCCCTGTTCATGACCACATTGGACAGGGCTTGGAGCAACACAGACTAGTAGAAGATGACCTTACCCATGGCAGGGGATTGGAACTGAATGATCTTTGATGTCCCTTCCAACCTAAACCATTCTGCAATTCCATGGAAAGCTTGTCTGCCTTCTCAGAAAAAGGAAGAAGGTATGTTTCCTACCTAGACACAGGAAGCTGAAGATCCATTGAACCACTGATGCTGTCTGAAGTCTTCTCTGCAGTGGCAACGAACGCGGAGCAAACTCGACCTTCATCTTGGGCTCTGCACGCAAGTTTCAGAAGGAGAAGGAAGCAAGTTGCAAATGAAAAGTGCAAAGTTGCCTGTCAATGTTTACCCAGTTTTACGGTAGAAGGGATTGTGCAACAACAGTGGCAGTGGTGACTGCCCACAGCACCATCCTGTACAAGGAGGAGAGGGAGGTGTCACTGACTTTACAATAACGTGACTCACAGTGTTGTTAGATGGTAACAATTCCATGCTTCTATCACCCAAATCTGGGAAGTAAACATCAGTCACGATGCAATCCTGTTATCAAGATCCTGTCACTCTCAAATTTTGCAATACTTGGATGTTGGCAGAGAGAATGAGGCATAAAACCTGTGAGCCAGGTTTTATTTTCCCCCTTTCCCTACAAATCATGCTGTGCACAGCAGGAAGGGACAAGCACTGGTGGGTCCCTTTTGTTGGCAGGTAATGTGGTGTGGAGGGGTTTCAGTCTCAGCCAAAGAGGTGGGGAGACAACACAAGTGCATTTTACTGCTGAGCACAGGGTATGAGCAACCTCATTCTTTGGCCAAGTCATGGATGGATGGTGGATGGATGAGACAGATGAGTGTCCATGTACATCCTTGCAGAGGATATAGGTGTAGAGAAAGGAAATATTGCTCCTGTTTTGCATATCTATGTTCAAGCAGGTGCACAGTCTGAGTCTCTGCCTTGTCATGTGCAAAGAGATGCAATTTACTATGTGGAAAAAAAAATCAGAAATTTTGGGGGAAAAAATCCTCTAAGAACTGACAAGCTACTCAGGTAAACACAGAAATCATCTCCTGGGAGGGCTGGGAAAACCAAAGGTCTCATTGTAACCAGGACACAGAATAATATCATGAACAATGGCCTGATGCACTGTGAAAACACTGGCTATGTACAAAGGCTTCACTCACATGTTTAAGGGGCATTTCAAATCCCCAAGGTCACTTCAGCAAAGAATTATAAGGAAAAAACTAAAAACAATCATTGGGAGTAGCAAATCAGAGATGTTAGCTGAAAAATAATCCCTCCCCTTTGTCATGTTTAGGAAGATGCTGGGCTATGAGGGGTTTACATCTGTTAGACCCTGTTTTCCTGAATCACTGGGACAACAGGGCTCTGGTGAAGCCTCAAGGGATCTTTTCCTAAAGGCATTAATTGCTTTAATTGAGCTAAAACTGGTGTAGATTTCACTCGAATTTCTTCCCATCCTTTGTCTTCCGCTGCAAATATCAGGACCCTGACTGCTTCAAGAAAGCAAAGGAGGTTTTTGTTTCTTTCATCACTGTTACCTGGTCACAGGATGTTTCCTGGTGAGAAACCATCAGTGATTTCCAAAATTCCATGGGGAGATCTTTGGGCCCAGAGTTCCTGGTCTCCTGGTCTCCTGTGCAACACCAGCACCATCAGAGAGGTGGATGGTGGAACCAATAAGGGTTAAATTGATTGTTAGGGAAAATTCCTTCCCCAAAACAGTTGTCAAGCCCTGGTACAAGCTGCCCAGAGCAGTCATGGAGTTCCCATTCCTGGAAGGATTTCACAGACATGTAGATGTGGCACTTGGGTTAGTAGTGGGCTTGGCAGTGCTGGTGGAAGGGCTGGACTCAATGGTCTTAGAGGACTTTTTCAACCTTAACAATTCTGTGACTCTATGAAAAGTCCATGCAAGGACATCTCTGGTCCAGTCATGATGTTTCGAGGTGCTTTTCACTTTTCATGATGTTTCGAGGTTCATCCAGCACTCTTGTCCTTGTTGGAGACCAGCCGTGCCAAGGAACTCTTTTGGTTTTCAATAGAAAACTGTGAAGAGTCACACCTGTGCCTTGGGGACACCCAGACATGTGGGAAGCATTTT